CCCCCAGCACCACATGCCAGCCAGCCCTGCCCCCTGGTGGGCTGAGCTGGCCACACACACACACACACACACACACACACAGAATAAATAAATAAAAATTAAAAAAAAATAAAAAATAAAAATAAAATCTTTGTTGATTCAAGTCAATAATCTCCTGCCACTTGAAGGCATTACCGGGGTTTTATTATTTGTTGGTCTTCTTTTTCTCCTATTGGATTGTTGGCTTCTTTAGCACAGACCCCTTTTGCTCATCTTCCTATCCCAAATGTGATTGTTTCCAAGGGCTACCATTATAAAGTATACAAATTGGGTGGCTTAGTTGGTAAAAACTCACTGTTTCAATCTTGGAGACCAGATGTCCAAAATGAAGGCATTAGTAGTATTAGCTCCTTTTCAGGGCTATGAGGGAAGAGACTGTTCCAGATTCTGCCTGGGTTGTCAGTGGTTTTTCACATTGCTTTTCCTCTGTGCATGTCTGTCTTGTCCCACCATCCTGTTTTATAAGAACATCAGGCACCCTGGATTAATTCCTGTCCTAAAAACCTCAGTTTAACTTGATTACCTCCATAAAGACCCTATTTACAAATATAGTCAGTCATATGCTGAAGTATGAATGAATTCAAGAAATGATGTTTTGGGGAGACATACAATTCAGCCTATGCACTAGGTGCTAGTACAGTGCCAGACACTCAGGAAATACCTGAAAATGTTTATAAATCTGTGATAACTATTTGCATAGTCATGCGGATAGATATCCTTCCTAAAATTGCATTGACACAGGCGTTGGCCCTATGAGAGCACTCATTTTCAGAAAGCAAGTAAAATGAGTTACTGCCTAATAAATTTATGGTAGTGGTTTTAACTAAATTTTGCAGTTAATGTGCTTATACTTCTTAAGTTTATTAGGTCCTAGTCTCTGAGAATTTGGGTGATGTAGCTATTAATTATCCTATCTCTTAATAGATGGTGCAGAGGTACCCGACAATTACATTTTTCCTAGGCATCTCATACTAAGTTAATGGAGCAACTGCAGGTCTTAAGTTGCCTTAGGACCTTTGTGTAATGGTTTAGAACATGGCATCAGAAGGTAGATTGCCTGAGTGAATCTAAATCACAACTGCTGGGGCCAGCAGGATAGCTCAACGGGCTAAGTGTCTGCTTAGGCAAGCTCAGTGACCAGGGTTTGAGCCTTAGCACCACAGGCCATACTGGCCCTGCCCCTGGGTGCTCCGAGCCTGGCCACCGAGTCTGGGTGTGGTTTTGCACTGCTATAATTCTAGTGCTGGGGAGGCTGAGAACAGGAGGATCACTAGGAGTCTGAGCTGTGTGGAGAGACCCTGTACCAAATACATTAAAAAAAAAAAAAATCACACCTGCTGGGCAGACAAAGGAGAGATTGTAATGACTTATAACCTAGTAGCTATAAAAGTGGATATGATCACCTAAATAAAAAGAGAAAAAAGTATAAGGGAGATGGCTCAGCGGAATAAGCTCTTCCCTGGCAAGCGCAAGGGCCTGAGTTCAATCCCCGGTTCCGCCAAATAAACAAAAAGAGAAAAAAGTATACATATATATATGTGTTATATACATATATATATATTTTTTTTTTCCCCAATATAAAATCTAGAAGAATGAAGAGACAATTTTTTTTTTTTTTTTACCGGGGATGGAACTCAGGCCCTTGCGCTTGTCAGGGAAGTGCTTATTCCACTGAGCCATCTCCCTGGCCTCTTGAAGAGACAGTTTACAGTGCAGAAAAGGCTGATTTTTCTGACTTAGAACAATTAGAAACTAATAGGAGGAAAAGATAACTATTACAGAAATAAAGCTTTTTAAAAACCATGGAACATCAAATGTAAATGTTTTTCAAACATATAAAAAGATGCTTAGCCTTGCAAATAGTACAAAAGCTTGCTTAAACTGAAGCAAGAGACTGTTCTTTTTCATTAGCTCATCAACTCTCAAGTATGTCTTTATTCTAGTCTTGTCTTTATGGTATTTATTTTTTTATTTTTTATGTATTTGGTACAGGGTCTCACTGCGCAGCTTGGATGCCTAGTGATCCTTCTGTTTTCAGCCTAGCCTCCCCAGCCTGGGATTACGGGCATGCGGCACCACACATGGCCTGTGGTGCTGGGGGTTGAACCCTGGTCCCTGCCCTTGCCTGAGTAGGTGCTTAGTCCGCTGAGCTATCTTGCCAGCCCCTTTTGAGGTCTTTAAAAGAGTTCTTTACTTAGGTTTACAGCCTTAGATTCTTTTAGATATTTTATATTTTTACCTATTTTAAGTTTTGTTTCTGTATGTTTTGAACTTTTAAGTTTTTCATTATTGATAGTAGTTTTGGTTGACTTATTTTCATGAATTAATTTTATAATCTACAGATAATGGTAACTCTTTGTTAAAACTGTATATCAAAAAACAACTGTATATCAATCATTTTTGTCTAAATAAAAAGTTCTTTTTTTTATTTTGTGGAACTGGGGGTTGAACTCAGGTCCTTGTGCTTGCCAGGCAAGTGCTTACTCTACTGAGCCATCTCCCCAGCCACATAAAAAGTTTATTAAATACAAAAGGTTGTTCTTAAGTTTTTAAAGCACTCACTGCTCTCAGGGCTTTTAGCATGGCCAAGCAAATACACAGTTTTTGGTATTCATATGTATTGGTATTGTGGTTTGATTAGTGCTTTTTTTCTTTCTGTTTCATTAAATACTCTAGAAAATTATAGTTCTGTAGTTGTTATTTCAAGTCTCAGTTTTCCAGTTCTCTTTTGTGTTCCAATCATTTATTTTTCTTTTGTAACTTAACTAGTTCTACTTCTTTTTCTCCTGTAATTTGGCCTTAAATCAGAGAATTGTTGCCAAATTGTATATGGAAGATTAGATAAGCAGGTTGCACATGTGACATTGTTTTCACTATCTTCAGAGTTATGTATTTTTTTGGACTTTAGCAAGTACACATAAAATCTTCAGATAAATGACCTTATCCACTGATGATAATTTGTGTGTTTTCTTTTTCTCTAATAGAAGCTATCACATATAACAGTACCACTGAACTTACAGATATAACATGGAGTTCCAGTGGAAGTGATCTGTCAGATGAAGATGAGATACTTCCTAAATCACAAAAAGATAATGGACATGGCTCTAAAATAGACAGATTTTGTAACAGGAATATTTTAAGTCCAGAAGAAGGGGCCAGTGAAGGTAAATTGCTAATTTTGTAAGAAATTTACTTTTGGTTAAATACTAGGCTCGATATTAGAAGAAACTTACATTGTTTTTATGTATTTGTAATTGATTGTAAATTTTAAGTCCCAGCCTCATTGCCACACCCTTTAGAAAAAAGTTCTCAGTTAATATTTTTCACAGCAATTCTAACAGAAGGGCATTACTGATATTATTTTTACTGTTAACAATTTAGGCTCGGGCTGGTGAGATGGCTCAGTGGTCTAAAGCACCTACTTAGAAAAAGCTTAGCAAAGCACAGGGACCGCGGTTCAATCCCCCAGCACCATATGCCGGCCGGCCCCACCCCCTGGTGGGCTGAGCTGGCCACACACACACACACACAATAAATAAATAAACAAATAAATAAAATTAAAAAAACAAAACAAAACAAAACAATTTAGGCTCAGACTTGTTAGAATTGGTTGGAATTCCATTTTCAGTCTCTTTGGGGCCAGAGCCAATTGCAATTCTCACATTGTGCTGTACCTAACCACCCACCCAGCGCTATGCCCATGCTGCCTTCCTGCAAGCTTGTTACTAAATACTGTGAGAATCAACATTGTGGTGGTAGTATAACTTATTAGCAAGATCCTATACAGATGGCATTTTATATTTGTATCATGTTTTAGACAGTTTAAAACAGGGTTTCTCAACCTGACCTTCTTGCATTTGCTGTGGGGAGAACTTTCCTCTAGATCCTATAGATGTTTTGTAGCATTCCTGGCCTCTGCCTGTTGGATGACAGTACTACCCCCAGCTCTAGTTTTAATACCCCAAAGTGTTTTTAGATTTTACCAGAGGTCTCCTGAAGGACAGAAGTCACCTCCAGTTGATAACTATGTATATATTATGGAAAGTGTAGCCTTTTCTAAATTTTAAAAATACTTGGAGTACTTAAAAGTCTTAATGTTCTCAAAATAAATTTGTAACTTTTAACTCTGATTGTTCATGTTTAGTAACTGTAGGTTAGATTTGGACAGATAGCCTCTCAGGAAAGTGTTTAAATTATTTTGACTACTTTGTATCCATTTTGTTAACTATGGTTATACTGACATTTTAGTAGATATTTTGAGTTTATACATAAACTGAATGTGTATGTTACTATTTCAACCACATAAATTGAAATACATTGTGATGTAACTCTTGCTTTGTCTTGTGTTGAGTATATCTCAACACAATGTCAATATTAAAAATTGTATGCTTTTAAAAAATATATGTAAAAAATATGTGAATTATTTCTTAAAGCTTGTATTAAATAAAACCTATGTTGTTCTATTAAGAAATACTGTGCAGTTTCCAAAACTCATTTAATTAATTATTTTTTTCAAAAGCTCATTTTGAATGAAAAGATGCTTTGGTCTAATTGCCCTAACATGGATTAACATACTGTTGACTTCTGTTTCAAAGTGTATTCTTAGAGAACAGATGGGATGATCCCTTAGAATATATGTAGTCATGATTATAGCTTCTGGATTAGCTTTCCCTCCCTCTCCCTATTCTGTTTCTCTGTACTCCCCTACCAACTTTTTTCTTCCTTTTTACATTTAATGGGTGATAACGGTTAGCATTTATCAAGATTTTGTTTTATCCCAGACACTTGACTGGATATGTATGTATATGTATTTAATTAATTTTGGTGGTACCAGAGATTGAACTCAGGACCTTGCGCTTGCCAGGCAAGCACTTACTCCACTATGTAAGTTATTTCCCTTGAAATTTGTTATGTCCTGCGAGCTAAGTATCCTCATTTTATAGAAGAAAATTATGACTTACAAAAGTCAAGTTACCTTTTCAGTCACATACTTGATAAATGTGCCTGTTGACATTAAAATCCAAGGATGTCCAATTTCAGTTCTGTGTGGTGGTTGCCAAACCTACTTCATAGAAGAATTATCATTATAATATTTCTTATTTTTTTTTTAGAATTATTTTTAAGAACAATATTTTTAGGCTTTTTTTTGGCATAGTCTCTTGACTGTAAGACCCTGAATTAGGAGTGAGAAAGGAAGTCCTAAACTTGTCAAAATTCTTTTCTGTGAAGTGTTCCCTCCCTCTATTTGATTTTATATCACTTTGGTAAAATCTATTAACTTACTAGAGACCCATTTCCTCATCTGTAAAGTGTACCTTGCAATCTAATAGTAGTTGTCTTCTTGGTTCATTAAAGCATTATAACCAAATGAAATCCTCATCTTGACTGTGGTATATAATTTTGTAACACTCCCTGCTACATTGTGATATTATTTATCTGTGGGTTACTGCAGGGTAATAATGATGCTCTTTTCTCTTTTGTACTTGTCTTATAAATGTCTAGATTGGTGTGATGACCCTTAGTAGGCACAGTGGATGGCACAGTGTGAAGTGGTGGCAGCAGCTTTGAGGGCAGAGGAACTCCTCTTTTGACTCTCATTGGCTTTAGGAATTGGAATATTTGTCATGCATTCATTCCTCTGCCTGGTTCCATGACTAAATGTGAAGATAGATGTGAGAAGCAAATGCCGTTATGCACCTGCTTCTCAGTGGACGGACCTCCAATTTTTTTATAGTCATTATAGTGGACTTTTACTGAGTCTGCTGGAACGGCAATATGAGACTAAAAAGCTATGTTCTTTTATCCATATTTAGCTTTTAAAAAAAAGTTTAAATTCCTTTCAAATCAAATATTAATATTTTGTTTTCTTTTTTAATATTTCATAACTACCTGTTAATCTGAGCAAGATATGATAAAAACGTAATATAATAACCCTTTTCAATTAGCTATTCCTGTTTTGAAAATCCGTAACACATGTATTGTTATGTGTTACCCTGTTTCTTGTTTTTTCTATTTGTTTTTGCTTCTGTTTTTACTCTTCAAAATAAAATAAAATTGAATTAAAAAAAGAAAAATACTATTTCACTTTACCGCACGTGAAATTATTAGCATCAGACCTCTGAAAGTAGGGCCATGATATCTTAGCCTTCCATGTTGCAGAAGTAGCTGGTAGGTAGCTGTTGTGCTTTATGAATATAAAGGTTTATGTTTTATATCATACTTAAGAGACTTAATAGCTAATTTCATTTATGTGAAAACAAATTAGAGTCAGTACATTTGGTTATTTAATGTATGAAGATTATTTTTTTTTATTTTTTTATTTTTTAATTT